AGTACAGATTTAACCATCAATCTTATAATGCACATACGGCTCCAAAGTACAGATTTAACCATCAATCTTGTAATGCACATACGGCTCTAAAGTACAGATTTAACCATCAATCTTATAATGCACAAAAGGCTCCAAAGTACAGATTTAACCATCAATCTTATAATGCACATACGGCTCCAAAGTACAGAACATTATTTTACTGAAAGGGGATGCAATCTATGAACTCTTGAATTCACAGTTCAGCTTGCTAACCACTAGGCCATACCTTGGCCAAAAATATAAAAATTGACAGACATTTTTCTTTTTGGAACTTCATACTTTGAAAAAAAATACAGTGTCTAACACGGTTAAGGAAAATAAAGTTTCATCAAAGAAAAAAATTCTCCCTTTTCCCTAACTTTGATAATTCATAATTTTTTCTAGTTACCAGTTATCTAATATGAGGTAACCTTCTGTTCTTTCTTTAAACAACAAATGAAGTTACCAACCAGACGTAGTTTCAGAGGGAATCATCTCAAGTAACGGCTCTTTCAACAGTGGGGAATCACCTTTTATCGGAGTAGACGAGGCTCTAAAATAAAAGAACGATTTCATGTTACAATAGAAAACCCAGGCAAGTCATTCTAATTCAAGTTGTAACAAGGTTTATGATACAAACAATAGGCCAGTGTTAGAGGATAGTAAACATGTTGTTAACCAGAGATCTCAGTGATCAAGCAAGAAATAAATAAAGGGCACTTGCATGTTCGTCTGACTGACAGCAATTTTTATCATGTAAAGGGTACATCTGCTAATTACACAGGCCTGTGAATTTAAACATCATAAAAGTTGCTCTGGTTTTAATAACGGATTCTCAATAATTCAGCTACTCAGATTTTTCAAAAATAATATTCATTTTTTTCTATCATATAAGGATTTTTTTACAAATCGTGAAGGAAAAAAAAACTTACTTATATCAAATTATTATTTTGTTTACCACAGTGAACAATTCTGACTATTATGTTTGGGTTCTAGAACGATTGACAAGATCTCGCGTCGCGATTGGTCTAGAGAAATCTATAGCCAGTGGCTGTCAACATTTTAAGGATAACAAAATGTGACCCGATTTCAATGAAAATGACTCACTTAT